AAGCATAGAAAAGCAGATGTCGAAAATGCTAAATTTTTCTTCCTGGATATTCCATTTCTGAGCCCGAAAAAAGACGAACAATTTAATTATCCTAAAACCGAATAAAACACTTTTGTAGAGGAGAAAGAGCTCTTTCAAATGAATGTATACACTTTGCTAAAAAACAAAATAACTCGTTGTAAAATAACTCTAACACAAAACTCTACGAACTTATGTTACAACCCAATATCTCGATTTCATATTTCAAGGAAATGCTGCGACCTCTGCGAGTTGCGAACAGCAAAATTATTCTTAATACCAGAATTCACGCACGTCACGACTATCCCATGCAAATGCAGCTGAACGGTTCCTGACATCGCCATCTTCCTCGAATCCGAGTCTCAGGTGGATGGCGATCGCGAAAGACAGAAGCGAATGGTTTGTTGCTGGTGCTCGCACATGAGTGAAGACGAGCCGTATAAGTATAGGTAAGCAAGTAAAAAGGGGGGACCTATACGTGGGAAAAGCAGTTAGGGGCAAGTAAAGGGAGAGAGAGGAGCAAGATAAAAATTTCTAAGTTCAATGAAAAACTTGGAAGAAAAATCTTTTCAAATGATTTGTCATCCGATGAAGCTTCCAAAGCCTTCTTGCAAGTGCAACCTCATAGGAGCTCCATCATGCCTTGACCAACTCCACAACACTCACTTGAGCTTCTCCAAATCTCGACTAATCTTCTCGTTCGATTTGAAATTTTGTAGCCAATGTCGCTCCAGGAACCCATGTGGGAAAAACCGTTAGCGAAGTTGTGGGTCTGAACAGTGCTTGAATTGAATCTTCAACTTGAATTTCGAAAAAAATTTTAAAACAAGTTCCCGAAAGACCGAGTGCAAAGACATTCGAAAGTCGTGATATTTGGATATTTATTTACTCTGCTACTGATGAGGAATTTGACTACGTTCGCATTGACTCGGGTAAGCGTTTGGACTGGATTTGTGACGAGATAGGTAAGTGACAAGGTCCACTATTCATTTTGTGGTAGAAAGCTCTACTTTCTCCGTTTACATCTCGGTTTGCAGGAATTCGTCATCGAAAAACACTCCTGCAAAGCTTCCTGCTCTACGACGATGCCCACGGCATACTTGAGAGCAAAGTTTATTACAAAAAAAAACTATTTTGACGCTGAGAAATGAGTTCCGAAAATAAATGCCCACTATATAATATTCGGGAGTAGCACTACAAAATGGATTATCCAACGACAAGGTTCCTGACTTAAAGGCATGTGTACCTGTCCCCTCTCCCTCTGCAAGGGTTGTGGATGACTGAGACTACTAAGAATACCAAATCGATGACTTCATGCTTTGGTAGGAAGGTCAAGGAAGACAACGTGACCGATAGGAAAATGTCCATATAGCGAAAAATTTCTTTAACGCCGGAAGTAAGCTGGATGAGTTAACCTTTCAGGTAAATCATTTTTTTCGTTTTCCATTCATCATAGACCATTTTCAGTCTATCGCAGACTCTACAGAACACTTTGATTAGCAGTTAATTTGATTCCATTGTGATTGTATGCGCTAACCTTTCGCAAAGTTGCCGGCCAATTGGATGGCACGGCTTATTATAAACTCCATATGGAAAAACAGGATGGGTACTTCTCCCAGAGAATCGCATCGCGTTTAAAACCGGGAAATCCAAGCTAACATCGACATAACCTAGGTCTCAGCAAGGATCTTAACGTCCAAAAAGGAAATTATTAGGGTGTCATAAAAGGTTTGAAAAAGTTTTGGTCATGAATTTTGCAACCATGTTGCGCAAGAAAGCGCCAAAGCAGAGCCGCGTGAAAAAGGGCAGAAGAAGGGCACTCTTGGTAAATCGTCAAAACAAGAGAACGGTATTGCACTTCATCTTTGGAAGTGAGTTATCATCATTTGAATTATGTCCTACTGACACGGCTATCGACCTACTGACACGGCTATCGACGTCTTCTACTTCATTGCTACGATTCTTGCCGCTCAGCCACTCAAGCCCGAAATGAATTGCAGTCATCGAAGGGCAGTACTGTACCTTCTTTGCCACTTGCTATAGGTGGTACGGTCGCTTCTCTAGAAGAGAGATTCACTTCGACGAAGCGCCACGGAGAGGATGTCCACGTTCCACCATGAACGACATTATCTCAGTCCAGAGCAATCCTTCTCAATGCTTGATAGAAATGGAGAGGATGACTTCTGCTCCCTGTTCCACCATCCACGACTTCCTATGCAGACGTCGCTTTCGTGCTGCACTTCCTGCAGTTATCCCCTACACCTTGACCGAAAGCGAGCGTCAGGATTGGGTCGATGTGTGTCGGAACTACTCGACCGCAAGCGAACGGTGGCTTGGGCGAGCTTCATCATCGCTCAGGATGAGAAGTGGATTTCTTATGAAAGTTCACACAGGAAGTTGCAGTGGCTACCAATCGACACAAGGCCAGAAGCCGTTGCAAAGCGTAGGGCACACGTCAATAAGGAGATGATCTCGTTCTTCTTCCGCTCCGCCGGACGTTTTTACTATGAGATCTTACCTGAGGGTACTGCTGTGACTGCGAGGGTATTCTGCGAACAGCTGCGGGAGATGGTGTCTCGAGCCCCAGTATCACACCGAATGCAGGGAAAGTTTCTGATTTTGATGGAAAACGCTCGACCACTCATGCTAGGGCGACGGCTGAGGAGCTGGTAAGGCTTGGGATTACCTGGCTACCCCATCCTCCCTATTCACCTGACCTTAGCCCTTGCGACTACCACGCCGACAAGAGTCTACAAGCTTACCTCAATGGGGAAAAATCTCATAACCGCCAGGAGGTCAAAAGTGAAGTAGACGAAAGAATCGCTTAACGCCCCTCTTCTTTCTGGATGAATGGCATGAATGCTCTGTCCTGTCGATGGAGGGACGTCGTGGCTAGAGAGGGCCACTATCTCGATTACTGATCTCACCTTTTTGTTATAGTATTTTTGTGTTGAATAAACCAATTGAATTTTTTCAAAACTTTTGGGACACCCTAATACATACTCATGAGTATATTTTATGTGGGGAGAGTTGAAATGAACTTGTTTACAACTGTTACCCATGATCTCCCATGATACAGATGATACCATGGTGATAACAACCATAGTATAACAATCCAACCCTGGTAGGATTCACTCCATTTGCAACGATGCCAGTGATCGCCATCAATGAATGTCCGTCTTGGAGGTATGGTTCCATTGGTTCACGGACGTTATCTCTTCCCTTGTCTCGTACTGTACAGCAGCTTTCAGAAGTGCTCCAAGCAATGGAGAAGTGCAAGAGATTGTTCAGCAAAACGAAGGGAGCCCAAAACGAGCATCTGCTGGGGGCCCGGCAGGTCTATCCTGCTATGAAACTGTCCTCGTCTCGTTAGCCCTCTGCATGCTCGCGAGCGGCGTTGTAGAACTCATCTTCAACTATCAACACATGAGCCTCGCCAAAGTTATCATTACATTGAGTCTCGCCATTTTGACTATTGTCGCAGTTGTCACGAAATCTTCATTGCTCATGGTAATCGTCATGCTTATTCTGACTGTTGTAGTTCTCTTGTCAACGGCTATACTGGTACTGGATGTGATCGGTTTGATCAATGGAGGAGAGCTAACAACCGGTATTGTGGTAGGAATGGCTATTGCAGTCTTACTGTACCTGTGCATTGTTTTTGCCTGTATTTCGGCTTGCATACTTCGTGCACAGTATTAGTTCCAATTAATCAAAGGAGAAAATTTTTGTCGACAAGTTTAAAGCCGTTGAATAAACGATGTCGATCTCCAAAAACTCACAGAACTTCGAAATTTGATCTTGGTCTTCCTTCTTGGAAGGCTCAATTGTGAAACTGAGTGTATTCAGTTTATCTATGAACCAGTCGGGCTCATGCCGGGCCTCATTCCTTACTTTAACAAAGTTGTTAGAAACTGTAGTGGGGGGGGGGGGGGGGGGGGGGNGCGACTCTACCTGTGCTGAGAAACGGCTTTAGTCGAAAAGAATATAGTTTGAGTTCAACCTGAGCATCAAGAGGGGATGATTTGTAAGGTGAGGGAGAGACGATAACCTTGTGCGAAGCCTATATAGTGTGGGTATGAGTTGGACATTCAACTGACTCACCCAACCGGTGCTACTTCCCTGGCTTAGCTCAAAATCTGTATATTCTCGGCTAAGAAACGTTTCTAAGCATATCTATGGATTAACTTTCTTGTCGCTAGGGCTCAACGTCGAAAAAAGCGAAGATCTCTTAACCACTACTTCAGATTTCTGTATGGACGTACATAGGACGATGCCAGTACAGGCCCAAATCACAGTTTTGAAATACCCATCTAACTCCGCCTTACTCATTCAACTCCGCAGTACTCACTCTACTCCCCTGACCTACCACCAAATTACTGTGTAGAATAGAGCCAGCTTCTCCATATCACTACCCCTATTGTATTCATTAGTTCCACGGACGGACAGATAGGACAAATCGACAAACCGACACACCTACAGACACACAAAAAGACAAGCCGACAGACATACAGCTCGACACTCCAAGTTACTGCTCTATAAATATGAGAGGAGCTTTGCGAAGTTCCAAGCTCCGACAGCTACCGAAGATAAGGGAAGTCTTTGCTCCTGCCAATATATTGAAGATCAGGTGGGATGAGCACTTTGTGTGGTATGTATGTGGTAAGCGTGAGACAAGGGCGGTTACTAACTGGATCCTTCAGACGTCAAAAGCACACCAGGGAAACCGCCAGAGCGATAGTTATACACTTTAAAGAATCTCTCGAACGAAGGGAATACTGGGCTTCGGTCCCCTGAGCGAAGACGTTGCTTAGGACAACTCAGGCTCGCTACAAGGACGATTGGAGACGCGAGACCGAGCTGTAGTGGCAAGACTCTTGAAGAGATGCATTGTTCGCAGAATTCAAGTTCTCAGGATCAGGGCATTCTTTTGCTTTCACCCAAGGTTCGGCATCAATGCCTACATTATTTTTAAATGGGAAATTCCACTAGTTGGGTGTGTAAAATCTAAACTTGGATAGCAAACGTAAGTTTGTGCGAATGGGGTAAACAATTGCCTGTTGCCTATAATCCAGTGGTCTCCTGGAACCTTTGCATCATCTACCCTTCGTCCCAAGGATTTATTAGCCCAACGCTATGCAACATACTTATGGTTAGCCTACCGAACAGAACTCTGAATGATATCCACTAATATTACCGTCAAATGAAAACAGCTTTCCCAACGACAGGATAGCCGGTGCTGCTAGCTCTTTTTCTCTTCATAGGTACGTACGTTCCCAGAAGTTGGAGACCGGATAAGTCTTTTGCGGCAAGTGATACCGGATTAAACGACCTACATGAGCTCTCACCTGGGAGACCGCTTATGTCAGCCTTTGCCCAACTATGTCAGTTTCACATCACTTGAGCTAAAATGTAAAGACCCACGGTAAATATGAAGATTGTACCGTAAACGAGCGATCTAGGCGTTTTTACCTCACACACACATACACATACACGTAAACAGGACTTTTTAAGGAGTTCTGACGACTTCCTTACGCTGACACCTTTCAGTGATATTATCCACAACCTTTTCCCGGCAGTATTCCTCTGATTGACCGCAACGGCCCTTCTGTTCAAAATGTCATATGATGTATATTGTAGGATTATACATATAATTACGCCTAAAATGTTGAAATGTCTACAATCACACCAGTCTACTTTGACTTGTTTCTTTACTCCCTCTATGGAAGGGAGTGTTAAGCCAAAGTTGTTTTCACCTCTTACCCATGATCTCCCATGATACAGATGATACCATAGTGATAACAACCATAGTACCACAAACCAACCCCGGTAGGATTCATTCCATTTGCAACGATGGCAGTGATCGACATCAGTGAATGTCCATCTGAGAGGTATGGTTACATTGGTTCACAGACGTCATCTCTACCTTTGTCCAGCACTGTACAACAGCTTTCAGAAGTGCTCCAAGCAATGGAGAAGCGCAAGAGATTGTTCAGCCAAACGATGAAAACCTGAAACGTGCAGCTGCTGGAGGTATTGGAGGTCTATCCGGCAATGAACTATTCCTCGTTGTGCTAGCCATCTGCGTCACTGCGTTTTGCGTTGTGAACCTCATCTTCAACTACCAACACATGAGCCTCATCACAACTATCGCTGCCTTGACGGTCGCCATTTTGGCTATTGTCGCAGTCATCACAAAATCTTCAATACTCATGTTAATCGTTCTGATTGTCTTGAGTCTTGTGGTTGGCACGCTAACTATTATACTGATAATCAATGTGATCGGTATAATCGTGAATGGATTTGATTCTTCAACCGCATTTATAGTGTCACTCGTTATTGCTATCCTAATATACATAGGCGCTATTTTAGCCTGTATTTCGGCTTGCGTACTTCACAAGCAGTATTAGTTCTAATGAATCTTAGGAGAAATTTTTTGTCGACATGTTTAAAGCCCATGAATAAACGATGTCGATCTCCAAAAACTCACAAAATAAAAACAAAACGAAAGAAAGTTTGACCTTGCTGTTGAACAGAATGTGCTTGATCTAGCCACATGATTCAGAGCCAGATGTCTATGAGAAGTTCCGAGCTCTTGCTGGAAACGTTGCGTGATATCCTGGTGACTGTGGAACCAAGGGAATTACTCCAGACGCTAAACGAACACCAGAAAAGCTGCCAGGGTGATAGAAAGACATCTTTGGCGACTGCTCCGAAGACACCTTCATTGAATGCTCCGAACGATGGGAAAGATGCAATTCGTCTCTTCCGAGCTCTCTGCGGAGTGTTCAGAATGGGACCAAAGCACAG